AGTTTATTTGCTCAAAATTTCCCCCAAACCATTTCGTCTCTCTTGTTGTTTCGTCGTCTCCATTAGTTTATTTGCTCAAAATTTCCCCCAAACCAAAGTAGTGATTGAAGTTTGTTGATAAGCATTTTATCTTGGTATGTTCATGCATTTAAACAATTAGGTAAAACCATCGCCATTTACAGTTTAATCTCCAAAWGCTTAGCATGTATGACATGCAAAATCTGAGGAACTATGATGTATTGGAGTTGTGCCACTAGAGTCATTAACTTTTATGGTTGATCAGCATGCAAAGGATGGTCGTGTTAAACAAGGTTAAAAGACAAAATTATAATTTTGATACATAGGGTTAAAATGGTAATTTGTTGCTATTCAGATAACAATTACCAAACAACCTTGTTTCATTCAGCACTTAACCATTCTGGCCCTCTTAACCATTTTGACCACTTAACTATTCTGCACTAAATCATTCAGCAACTGCCAAACAGCCCCTTAACTTCTAGTAATGTACATTTTGGCCCCTTAAGTTTTATATTTTATAAATACACACTTAACTTTTAGTAATGGTAATTGACCAAAATGTCCCTCGAACTCAAGGAAATATTTAAGGATTTTAAAACTGAATGAGACAAATATGAAATAAAAGAATTGCAGGGACATATTTCATTAGGACATACAAAGTTATTGACCCCTAAACTCATTCAACTAACTAAGGGACCGTTTACCAAACGCTTACCCGAATAAGCGTTTACCAAGTCACATTACCTTACCAGATGAATATGACAAGGACCAATAATCTTATTTGGTAAGAGTGAGACAATGAACAAGAGTCTTACCCGGTAAGTGAAAACGAGGACTCTTACCATGGTAAGAGCTTATCGGATAAATTATTGCATGCAGTGCTGTTTTAGTGAACTAAAATGTTACCTGACAAGTAAGTAATAGTGTTGAATTTTACCCGTAAGCACTTATCGGGTAAATATTTGGTAAACAACCCATAAGACTTGTTTACTAAATACTTACCAAGTAAGGTAAATGCTTAATAGCTATGATACCGGATCATATACTAGATGAACACGGTAAGATAAGAGCGATGATAAAGATGGAGTGTTTTATTTTTATTTTTTTTAAAATATATAATATTTATATAAGACAAATGCAACAAATAAACTTACACACTATTTTCACCCTTGGTGGGATTTGACCCTGACCTCCTAATAGGCCAAAGGTACCCATACCGCTATGCT